CTCCCCTTTGATTTTTTGAACGGATCAATTCGAAAAATTAAAACTTGAGGTAATGAAATTGATGCATGGATACCATATTAGTAAAGTTGACAGATGAGAATGTCAAGACGGCCGCTGGGCGCCATCTAGGAAAAAAAATTATATGAAAACGGAGGTCTTGTGGCATATCATATTGAAGCTCCTGGCGAGTACTTTATAACCCTAGAATATAAAGTCAATACCTTTATCTACTACAAAATGGTGGTACATTTAATAGTTACCTGAATACATTGACATTTAACTTGATAATTCGAATAAATACGTTGAGTTCAGTTTATAAGATGCTGGAAATGGTTGCCTTGAACTTCTTGACATAATAACAGCCGGTCCGTAATTTCGCGTCGAAAATTTTCAAACATAGTAACATCGATATTTCTACAAATATTTTTTATTCTCAGCAGTATATCCAATATTGAATCAGGTTCAGTTTCGTACACCTTTTGCTTCAAATAGCCCTATAAAAAAAGTCTAAAGGTGTCATATCTGGCGAACGAGCTGGCCATTCCACGGGACCTCGACGGACAATCCAACGACCGGGGAAATTGTTATCTAAATAATTCCTAACTTGTCTGTAGTAGTGTGGTGGGGCACCACCTTGCTGGAATACAATATCAGTATCGGATTCATTAGGATTCGCTTCGACTATTTCGGTGATTAGAGGGTCGATAGTATTTTCCAGCATATCCAAATACATTTCCCCGGTTAAAGTTTGTTCGATAAATAGAGGCCCCACAATACGATTTCCCAATATCCCAGCCCAAACGTTAATTTTTTGTGGATACTGAGTATGAGTTTTCCGTAAGACGTGAGGATTGGTGTCACTCCAATAACGACAATTTTGTCTATGCACATTACCGTTGAGGAAAAGTGTACATTCATCACTAAAACCAATATTTTGAATATAGGTAGGATGCCGTGCAATGGTTTCCGTCATAGTCTCGCAGAATTCTGTTCTTCGATCAGGGTCATCTTCAGTTAGCTGATGTACCATTTGAATTTGTTATGGGTGATACTTATTCTTTTTCAAAAGCCTCCATACAGTAGAAGGACAAACCTCACATACATTCGCGATGGCGGAAGTAGACTGCTGGGGATTTACTATGGTTCCACCAATTATGTGAACTTGCTTTTCTTCCGGGATGGTCCAATGATCTGGGGCTCTTCGTTGTTTACACTACCAGTAGCTGTAAATTTAGATACATGTTCCCTTAAATATTTTCTGCAGATAGGACGAATCGGGAAACGATCATTAAAAACCCTTTCGCTCTCGTGAAGGCTACGAGCCACAATAAAAAAAAAATTGCTTCCGTTTTTTCTTCCAATGGACGAGAATTGACAATTTTATAAATAGTTCAAACAGTGTCTAGCACTAAAACCGAAAACTAAATAAGAATATTTTAACTGTACAATGATGTTTGTTTTTGTACTGATATTCTTGTCACTGTCAACAAAAGATAACAAAACAGGTTTTTTTTGCTGTTGCTGTGGATACGGCAGGGAATTACAAATATTTGTAGAGATATGCATCTTAGTGGGTTTGTGTTCAAGTAATTTTTAAATGTACCACCACTTAGAAGTAGGTAAAGGTATTGACTTTATATTCTAGGGTTATAAAGTACTCGTCAGGAGCTTCAAAATGATGTGCTACAAGACCCCCGTTTTCAGATAATTCTTTTTCCAAGATGGCGCCCAGCAGCCATCTTGACATTTTCATCTGTCAATTTGACTCTAAAATATGGTATTCACGCATCAATTTCATTACCTCGAATTTTAATTTCTTGAGTTGATCCCTTCAAAAAATTAAAGGGGAGGGGAGCATTAAAGAAAAGCATTGTATATACATACATACATACATATATATATATATATATATATATATATATATATATATATATATGCATTAGTACCGATAAAAAATATATCTAAATAAGAAAACAAATCTTCAGGAACCAGTGGCAAAGTATCATGAGAAGTAGAACAAGTTTCATTTGGCAATATTGAATCTAATAACCTGCCAGTATCATTGAAAGCATTGTTTAAGGCTTAGCACAATGAGCCAACCAGTTGGCAGCACTTCTTCTTACGGTGAAAATTATCCACAATGTGAAAATTTGGAACAATGGAGTCACCTATCAGTATGACACCAGCTGATATGAAACATAGCACAATAACATGTATGACCTGTCCAACAATCTGCCATTTCACTACATTGTACTTTCATCCCATTAAGCTATGCTCCAGTTTTGGTACCTTTTTGTTATTCCCCACTTGTTAAACCAAATGCTGAAACTACACTACCCCAATAGTTTCTCTATTTTCAGGCGTATATTTACTTATAGCATAATAAATCTGCTACAATATTATGTACTGAAGTAACTCTATTGATCATCGAGGCGAATTCAATTCTAATCCAAGCTGTGGATATGAAAAATTAAACCTATCAGTACATATTGCAGTACTTTACCGATGGTTGTCGTTAATCGGTAAGCTCCGACGAGTTCAAGAATACAACTCGTGGTCGCCAACTCCAGATATCCCGAAGCTTTTATGGCGTCGTGATCTTTCACCGATCTCAGAAATTATCTTGCCAACAAGATCATCTTGATTACATGAATTAACATTTTTTAATATTTATCGTTTTCATGTTTTTTTTTAAGTTAAAAGATAAGAGACTCTAAGTCTTTGATATCATTGCCAATTGATCGACAGGATTTGAATCGATTAATCTAGTCTCAGCAGAACTAATTTCAACACATACATTTTTGACGGGTTTCTTGCACAAACGTTTCACCATGTATATTGCCACATACAGCCTATTACAGCATGCACAAGTTACCTGCACCGGGGACATATTTTTTTTTTATTTATTGGCGTTGCAACTGTAGTCACCGGGGACATAATAATAATTGTATATTACTAACTTCTTGTAATATTTTTTTGAATTTATTTTGATATCTGATTTACAAAAGGAGTAAGTAACTGTAATTCAAAAGTTAGTAAGCCAGTCATACAAACCTGCATAGATCGTATGTCGAGAAAAAAGTTTATAGGAAGGAGTACTAAAGAATGTAAAACTGTACAGGGCGATCGGTTTGAAAACATTGAAAAATAGTTCATTTGAGTTCTTAACCACCCTGTATAAACTACCAAAGAACCTGAAAAAGTGAGCCAATAGGAAGAAAATATGAGATCATATAATTTTTCTAACGAGAAATTCGGTACTCTACTCTATAAGGGCCTATTCAAATCTACAATATGATGTAGGCCGTTACATTTAAAAAATATATGTTCGGGTCACCACGTAGTTATTAATCAACAAATAAATCACCCTTCAGAGATAATTTTCAGGTAAGGAGAATACTGTTGGCTACAGATACCGTGCTTAATAACGGGGTTACCAGCCGATCCTGCACTAAGCACTGGCCTTGTATATGGCTGTTTCTGTAAGCTGGTCAACATTCAATCACTAACTCGCTGATTGTTTTTGATAGTCTCTTGACTATTCACTTTTGTAGTGCTTTCTCGGAGACCTTTAGGCATTTAGAAACTTTGCCTTTTAAACCAGATTAATAAGCACACCTAATACACCAGGGTTCTCACTGTTTACGTATTTGAAGTTTCTTTTTTACTACTACTTTGTGTTAACATCCACTACGATCAATTTTTTCCTTGTTCATGACTTCTCAAATGTTATGCGGCTTATTGTTCGCAGATTCTAATATTTATACGTAAGGTTGTTTCTTTGTGATCCTGATAAGTCGTTTGTGGTATTTCTTTTTCTCAAAATTTCGCCGCCTCCTGTCTGCTTCATGTTGTTCTTCTAGGTGTGGGTTAGATTGTTGAACATCTGGTGGCTTCGATAAATAATTAATGTCTACAGCAAGCGGTAAACCTTTTATGGCAACTGACGTTAAAATGGCAAAGAAAGGTATTGATGGACTTCTCAAATACACTAGAAGAACTAAAAACTTACATTATTAAGTAAATACCACTTACTCCTACTGACCGAGCTTTGCTGTTTGTTTCAAATCTGTGTGAGCTAATGGCTGTTAAGAAAATTAGATTTATGCCTAGGTTAATGATGACACCGGATGCAATATATCGAATACAAAGAACGCCTGATGACGTATATAAAAGATGAAATAGGAAGCTTTTGCGAAAAAGGGGAGAGAGATACGCCCCGGTGCGAGCGAGACAAAGCAAAAAAAAAGTTGGAGTAAGTAAAGGTGAATGACAGTATTACAGTATTCCTTCCAAAAATAAATTCAATAGATTGGAAACGACGTCAAGCAGCTGGACTCTGTATGTCTCACTTATCAGTGGAGGTGTAATATGTTACAGAATATTTTGTTTGAAGTAATAATAATTTCTAGAATTTTCCGAATTCTCGAATTTTTCAACAACAAGGTGCACGTGTTGGATGGGCTCCATAAAAACTATTTTGGTTTTTTGTTTAAGATTTTGTATATGGTACAAATTAATGCGACCCCCCAAACAGTTACTGAACGGCTCGATAGATTATCAGGAAGCCTGGCAATATAAATATGCACTAGTAGGGTGAGTCAATCTACTTGACTGTATTTTTTGTATGAAAGTGTTTCAAGTGACAGTCTGATGGCTGCCAGCAAAATAAGATTTTTCCCTTTTAATACAGGTTAATGATACGCGACGCAATATTTCTAGTACAAAAAACACCTGACGACGTATATAAAAGACGAAGTACGGAGTTTCTGCGAAGGAGGAGAGAGAGAAAGCCCTATAGCCGTCTTAAATGAGCGCGAGAGAGAAGCGATGTGATAAAAAAGAGCGAAAAGACGGTCTGTGCGGCTTGCGCTTGCGTTCCGCTCTCGGTAAACCTCTAAGAAACGAGCCTGGTTTGAGGGTAAAAATCCGAGGTCTTTCCTGGTTGGCGGCGGCGACAGCGGCGGTGGCGGTTCACCTCAACACGCCCCGCCTCCAAGATGCCTCCCCTGCCCCCAGATATCCCCGCAAATGCCGCCCCCACCAGCACTTTTATACTCTTTCTTAATGCCAGAAGAAGGTCGACGACGCGCCGCGAAAAGAACTTCGCCACCAAGGAGTTTCCGAGGAGTTCGCGGTCAGTGCGGTGAAGTTTAACGCGGTTCCGATACTGGGGCGATAGCGCAAACGACTTTTCTTCGGGTGATTTTTTTCCGCGTGATTTTGAAATTAGTTGAGGTAAGTGACAAACATCAATTTTCCGAAGTTCTCCAGTTTAATATACATTATTCCACAAAAGAACAACCACGTTGTACGAACAACAAATTTAAATTATATTTTTTCAAAACCACTTCTTCAAGTTTGTCGCTTTCTGTTGGAAATACAACTATAGGCCTTTTCTAGTGAACTAGTCAATTTATACTCATAAACATATATTATGTTTTGAGTAAAACTTGAAATTCAGCACAGAATTTAGCAGTTACAACGGACACATTGAAGTAACGTCAGATGCTTCAGTAGGCGATAACTTGAAGCGCTACAGCGCCGTCGTTGCCTAGTTGGCCAATTGTCAAGTTGACCTTGAAGCCGTATGGCGGCATAATTTTCTACGATTATTTATTCAATTTTCTGCAATTTTAATGGGTAAGATTTTATTAAACATCAATACAAGTGAATTGAAAGCTTCATTTAGTAGAGTCTGTGGTGGTCTAGGAAGGTTTTTAGGTGGTGAAAGTTACAATTTAGCTACCACTGAAGGCTCTACATCCGAAAAGTATCCACTATTGCGAACAATATCAGAAACTGGAATCGCTGGCATGCCTAGGTTACAGGTTTAACATCATTTGTGTAATCTCAGACATGAACATTTTTTAATGTATTGGCTGTGCTGTCAGTATGTCTAGAATTTTAGGTTAGTTCCCCAATCTACTCCGATGATATAATCTTGTTCTATTTCGAAATCATAACTTCAACAGTCTGTATCTCGGACCCATGTTTCTATTACGTTGTTGTGTTATTTTCTATCTATTTTATTTCTCAAAAATATTGCCAGTGTTTCCTGAATCATCCTGCATATAAAACTATCTTGATTTGCAAATGCGCAAGACTACTGGAAAACATGGCCCTGCGTTTTAAGTCAGTTAAATCGGTATGAATCTGACACATCTAAGCTGATCCCCAAGTGCCACTCGGACTAAGATGTTCCAAAAATGCCAAGGATAAAAAAGCTTGTAGGGTTTGAAAATCACTTCAGCGGTCAGTATTATGAGGAAGAAACGAAAATGTCAGAACTCTGTTTTTGCGTGAAAAACATTGTTAGGAGAGGTATTTCACACAAACTTTAGATGACTTTCAATATTTTAAATACACTGACCATATTATGTATATGGTATTGGTGAATATTGTAATCAATTCATCTTCATATCCGCAGAATTATTACATAAAACCTATATCAAGCCAAAAAATAGGTAGAATGTCAAAGTGTGCACTAGGTGACATTTTATAGGAAAATATACATAATGTCGAAAAAAACCTACATAATGTCATAAAAAATCGTTATAATTTTAAGTCACGTAATACATGGGACGCAGTCCACTAGGAGCCGTGAATCTTAACATGGGAGCGAACTACTCCAAGTTGCGCATAGCTATGTCATTACCGTGCCAGGAATTCTTGTCCTGTCCGTCGGTGACATGATTTTTAATTACAAACAGTTGGCGCTTTTCTTTTTTGTCGCTCTCCTTTTGTTCCGTTCGCGGGTTTGGCTTAACAAGGCGTCCGTCGGCAATTGTCAGGATTGCGATATCCATGACCGGATGACAACTGGCTACCGGCTCTGCTGGACTACTGTTGGTCACAGCCACGTCGGATACGGGGATGTAGAGTAATTGGTGATGATTAAGCGGCTTGCGATTTTTCTGCGATTTCAAATGAATGGTACCTTATAGGAAGTTGTTCTGGGCAGGAGTAGGAATTTCTTTGTACATAGTTCGTGTTTGGTGTTGGTTTTAATGGATCTAGATGGCTACATTCGGAGAACCACATGCCGTACTAAATAAATCTATGACAGAGTCGCATTGCAGCGAGTTCAATTTTGCTCCTAAAGGTACACGCTCATTGAGTGAACGGAAAGCAAAATTCTTCCACCGAGTTCCATTACACATAATCAAATGACAGCCGGCACATTGAAGTGACACAAAGGGAAGCGATGTGTCACCTCTGATATGTGCAAATGGTTAATGTTGCGTCGCTTTACTTCAATTTGTGTGAAGGTTAACTCGGCTATCAGCGCATCAATATTCAAATATAAAGTAGAATCAGCTAAACATTTCTTCAAAATCGGTGCAGCCGCTTTTGAGATCACTTATTTAGAAAGATGGACATGGACATTCGTGGCATAGACATTAAACATCAAACATTTACCCTTAAATTTTGCGAGACATAGGGAAACCTTCAGCTAAAAACAAAAGCACATTGTTATATCTTAGCACCTCAAACAATCTACAATGTCCTCGTTAAAGCAACGACAGAACATTGCACCCCAACTGTCTTTGCCCGCCAGGGCGACCCCATCGGCAATATGTACAATTAAATCAATCCGGAAGTGAGGAGCGACAGTGACGGGTGGTCGGGATCGAATATCAAAATGAGGCTCGCCTCACGACAGAAAGGAAACATAACTGGAGAACTAGAGGAGGGTGTCGCGCCGACAAGATGAATCACAAATCAGCTGATTTCATCCCCTGCTCTGTTAACTGGACCAAAACGTGACGCGAATGCCGAATGCAACCCCACGACTACTGTTTCATTTTATAGTGTGGACACTTTATACACACACTCTATACTTATGATTGCTCTAAAAAACATCCATTCCAGATGTCAGCTGACATTTTCATGTCTGGGTCCACGGTATTCCGGATGTAATTACCGAATCTAGACATCAGGCTACCGTGCATTAGCGGCTGACTTAAAGTTAGCGGAACGAGAAGGCTTGTTCTTTTTACCTCCTACGCCTACAGATGATGAAGTATTCTATTCGAGAAACATTTCGAGAATGGGATATTATGTTTTTTGGATGTTAACGTGTATATCACGAAGAACCATGTTACTCATTTCCGTCGGTCTGTCTGTCGGTCTGTCCATAAATCCTTGGCCCGTCTTCAATGTGGAAAGTATTGATCGGATTTGGATGGAGCTTCTATGCAAGGTTGCTACTATGCCTGGGACAAAAACGCTTTGTAGCTTTTTGAAAATAGTCTAGTGAAGAAAAATGCTAACAACAAAAAATAATCGTTCGAGCTTCGCTTTTTGAAGTTTCAGAGGATCCTGATCATCTTTAAAACACTTTTTAGAGGTAAAGAATTGGAGGTGGGGGTTGTTAGAGGGGTGTGGAAGGGTGTATAGATGTTCGTATATTGATACACGGTAATTCTATGTACCTAACACATATTTCACACATCATAAACTTCCTAATACATTTGCACTTGAAACATGCCTGCTCTCTGGCTTCATTGACCGGCGGGCCGACGTCCTCGTATGGCTACAGGCCATTGGGTACTGACGAGAGGCGGCGTTGCCGGATTGACGGTATTACAGAAGGGCAGGGAAGAGATGACTATGGACAAATTGTGTGAACCTGTATGACTAACTTGATCCGTTCAATTTCTCTGTTATACATCTCCGTAACTAACTTTTTTCAGAGGGTCTGTCTTTGCCCGTTCTAAAAAAGAACGCCAACCATAGATAGATGTTTCATGCTCTAAAACAATGAACGAAAGCAAAGCAACTGTCCTCTATCTTGGATATAAGGTGTATGTCGCTGTGTTATTTCGATAACGCCTTATTTGTGATGTACATATTCCTTTATCGCGTGGCAGGTGGCAAAAATCAAATGGAGCTTCGATAATCGTACTTGACGGTAAAAAGACGAAACGTATTTTACACTGCCGATCATGGGATCCGAAAAGAAAGAGATAAAGACCATAGATAAAATGGACGGACGACCTCAATAGAATTACAGAGAAAAGTTGGATGCAAATAGCTCAAGACTGAGACATAATGTATGTTCACGGCTGATCAGATAAATAGGATTCGCAGAAGAAAGCCAGGTCATTGACGTCTAGCGATGTGAAAAGCACTGATCACTTAGAGGGCCCATTTGTGCACATTATCAAGTAAGTGGGGAGGTAAATTGGCGAAATATACCTCCCAATTCTGAAAAGACAACCCAGTATTGTGCCAGCAGCTAGTATTATGATGAGATTTATTCTTCCAGAATCACGCCCTAAGTGATCTGAGCTCCGATAAGGAAACAAATGTCTTCCAGGCAAAGTTAATCCAGCCATTAAAACCCAGTATACGTCTGATTGTGTCTTACTCCAAGGCACAACACTATCGGAACATTAAACTGCAATAAAGTATTGAGTCTCCCTGTAGTGATAGCTCCCAGCAGAGGTATCATGCAGCTTTGTAGCAGGTTAGAACTACGACTTTAAGGCCTGATTTTACTATTGACTCGCGGGATCAGAAATCTTGATCCGGATCATTATAGACAAATGAGAAAGCGTATTTCTAGTAATGAACGTGATGAATTTGGTCGATTTCATGTACCTAAAAAACTCTCAAACGTCCAAAAAAATATACGATTTGTGTAAGGAGGGTCTCTAAGCCCCACGATAAATCAAGAAATTCTTTATAAATTACTTGGCTTAGCTACAAAAACATGTTTCTACTTGCTTGGCTTTCCAAAATATATGACCGGATTAACCAGTTGGAAGGCGTTTTCGTAACACTACATGGAAAAATTGCCCAAACAGAAACAATTATCATAAACTCATCTTGTAGTTGAACCAAATGATAATTGGAAAACATATATCGGCTGTAAGGATTTCATCAAAATATTTAATTAGAGTCCATTATCACATGCTTTTGCTGCTGTACGTAACCCACATGTTATCCTTCAAGGAAAATAGAGATGTTTCTAGGTTACAATTATTCTAAGCACCGTTATCCGGTTTGGACGAATATATACTGTTAGAAAACAGACAATAGATTATACAACAAAAAGAAAGGTCTGTAATAACACAGTCTGTAAAATGTAAAATGGAAACCTTTCTTTCTTGTTCTTCCTTGTCGGCTAGTGGTGAAGTGTGTATTCGAATACAGATAATTAGTATTCCGATAACAATGATTCTAGTACTCCTAGCATGACGCCTAAATGCTGTTCGACAACTTCCACGTTTCGGTTATAGTTTGATGAGCACATCGCAGAGTTATAGTAAAATATCGATGTAAACGCTGCAGAAAATAGTGGGTCTAGTTACAGATTACTTATAGGTAATAATCTGGCACCGGAACTATCCGGATGAAACTGTAATAAACTACTTACTTTATTAAAAACCACTACCTTAAATAACATTCACCACAAACTCAAAAATAACCCAGCATCACATTCAAAATAAGCTCGCACTGATCGAAGCGGCACTTGAAATAGCACTTTGTAACCAAGCGTTTTAAATTAGGCGCCAAATATTTTCCCTCAACCCCAATTTTTCGTACATCGTGAGGTCGAACTACTCAATCTACATACAACAACCACATATTCCTTTTATTCATGTAACAAATTAAGATAGCAAGTTCTGGTGTGAATCCTGTGTTCATGCGTTGATTAACATATTCGTCACGGCGTTAAATCGTACTAATTAACACTTGTGAATATTTGCGAATGCCTCCTCCTAGCATGTCTAGTATTCGTTTTATCTCTAATCTTGTCAGTTGATACATTTTTAGTGCTGCCAAGCCAGTATCACAATGAACAAGAATAGTATTTTTTATTATTTTAGCATAACATATAGTAGTTGAACCTCATAACATTTATTTTTCAATTCAATTAAAATTGTTGCAGTGAAGTATACGTACGTTTATTTTGTGGATCTATTACAACTTAAGCCTTTGGTTGAACAATTCTATGTGGCAGTACTGGATAGTGACTGGGCCAAAGTGGGCAGCTGAACTGATGAAAGGCAGACGTTTCAAATATAATAAAGATTTTCATGTGTTCTTGAAATGTACATACTTTATATGTATACTCAAATACTTTTATTAAAATTATGATTGCCAATACTTGGCATAACTATAGCGCACACACAGAGGGTGTGTGTGCTAAACAGTGGTTCATATATCTACAAATTACAACAGCAATTTATTCGACAATCGACGCGTTTTTAAAAATATATACTTATTTCTAAAATTATCTGTCTGAGGTAAGTAGCATCCTGTTATTTCTAATAATGTGCTCAGTAATTAATGTTAAGATGTTATATCAATCTAGAAAATTATATCAGATTTGATCCTTCACGATTCGGACAGGGTTCAAACGTTTCTCTCCGATTGGCCAATTTTATATGCAATTTTACGCAAACTAATAGGCCATCGTTGATCCACATCATGGGTCTTGACAGACAGATCAAGAGGAAAAATATGGTTTTGTAGCTAAACCAGGTGAGCTATCAATAATTTCTTAATTTAATGTGGGGATCAAAGGCCCTTCTTACCAAATCGTATTTTTTTTCTCTAGTTTAAGAGATATTTTACCAGAAATCGACTATATTCATTAGATAAATCACTAGAAAGGTGCTTTCTCATTGGTTCATTATGATCGGGATCAAGGATTTTGATCGTCTGTCAGCAAAATCGGGCCTCAGAGCGGTGTGTAACGCGACGACGAGTTTTCAGTTATTCTATAGCCAGTCAGCTATAAAGCTACATTATACCTTTAAAAGGGAAGTCCGTCAATCGAGCAGCCGGAGTCCAAACAGCTTCAAGTATATGCACTTCAGGCATGTAAACAGTACTCCAAGCCAGCCGTTATCTGGACCATGTATCGACTGAGGAGGTTAGATATAGTTAATATTGAAAATTACTGAAGAAGGCATTGTCTAAAGATCGGTGCTATAAAATGTTCTGCTATGCTGTTTAACCCAAATCAAGTATTTCAACATTCAAAGGCGACAAATTGCCCTTAGTCATAATAGGACGTTTAATCCCACCGTGGATTATGTAAAGAATTTAGGCGTCGTTATGGATCCAGGGTTGAGGTTTAAGCAACATATATTACAAATGTATCTACATTAACATACATACGCTTGAAGATTTGATACTTTAATCGACATATTCTGAACTTCAAAATTCGCAAAGAGCTAGCTGAACCTTTGGTGATGTCGTTAATAAATTATTCATTTATTGTTTATTTTCCTTGAGTTGATTACCGGAGCAGATCTAGAGTAAAATTCAAAATAACTGCTGTAGGTTTGTTTATGGACTTGTTCGTGATCAGAGATAATTGAAGGTTGACCACCTTTTTACATGCCATCTGTGCATCTTAAAAGAAAGAATTAGATACAATAGGCTACCAATGTACTTATCCTCTAAAAATGCTTGTACGACTTATTACCAATTTTCTGGGATCTGCTAGCCAAACTAGTTAATAAAGTTTTGATTTTTTCACAATTCTGGATATCAATTTATTTAAGCGTATGTTAACGACTGATCATTGTGTGCGAATTTTCCTCTTATAAATAGTCTAATCATATTGAACGAAAATACCCCTGGTTTGCAAAATAATTGTAAAGTCTGGTTTAGTGATGCAAGTTGTTTGAGGGGTATTTAAAACATGGACGCATAAAATGGCTGAACCAACTTTTTATTCGACAACCAAGAATGAGAAAACGGTTGTTTTGGGATTCAACTGAAAGTGTTGTTAGGAACGAAGAAACTCTTCAAATAAGACTTTTAGGTATTTATGAGACCTTCACAATGAGATCACACGTAAAAAGATCCGACTAATAGCAAGAAAGTTATGGCCGAAAACCGAAGCAAAACGCAGGTTTTGACACTTGGTAATGCAACGATAATTTCACGCAGATACTTGAATTCTTCATATCCGCAGGCTTCATACTTCTAAATAACCCCAACAAAATTCGGGTATATTGGTCAAGTATACGTAGTTTCTGAGAATTTCTAATTGTTTATCCCTAATCACTTTTCTTCCTGCCATCAATACTAGTTTACTGAGAAATATACAGGGATCGTTTAAAGGGCATTTTATAGCAAAATACAAGAGTTTATCTTGCCTACATGAATCACAAACCATTCCGAAAGATAATTGTTATTTTTATGCGAAAAACGAAGGGTTACGTTTTTCTAAGGTTAGTTTGAGTAGCCAGCTGCACAGTGCATGAATGCATTATTATTGTTATTATATGGAGAAAAGTGCTTTCTAGCCCTGAAAAAATATTCGAACTTTTTCCCATCAGCTGTCGCGATCTACAGGACATGTTGGTGCCAAATCCTAACCTCGTTGATCTGAGTTTTGAGAATCCGAAACGAATGGCTTCTTGGCAGAGGCTGCTCATTTCAAAATTGGAGGAATGCTTGGGTGTCTCTTGTCAGTTAAGGTACTGTACAGTCTCTTCGAAGCATTAAACTGTACAACCTACAGAATGAGAAAGTTTTTTTTCTACAAAAGGCAACATTTTCTTTAATTTCCTAATTATACTTCCACTAATACCCGGTGTTACTATGACCGGTGGGAATCAAAATTTGCATCTTTGGCACAAATTGGTCCAACGAAAAGGCATTTCTGAATTAATGGATCTAAAGAATTTGGTCGATTTCTCGTAGAATTTCTCTCAAACTAGAGAATATAGTCTGTGTAAGACAGGCTACTAATTCCGATATTGAATCAAGAAATACTTACAATACAGTAGATTGACATGATGCCACTGCTGACCATTTTATTGAAAATAACAGTGTACAAAGTTCTGATTCATAAATTCTTTGAAGACATACATAAAATCACCGAATGCTTATTCTACAACAAGCATCGAGTAAATATTCAATTTACTTGCCCACCGTGCGAAAAACCATGTTCCCATGAAGACTATAGATGGGTTAAACTCATGGAAGGGAGTGAATGAAGCCAAAAATGTCGACGATGAAGTGAGTTGGTAGTTTGCGCAACAGATAAGTTTCAGGTGCTGTGCACCGGGCATCTCTCTCGTGTGTACACTGCGCATAATAAGAATTTTAGGTTCCGCGCATGTGACATCTGTCTCTGGAGCTGTCATCATGACAGTAAAAGGTGACAGTTCGGATGAGTTCGAAGCAGAAATACAAAGGGTACTATAAAAGTTTTGCAATATGACTTAACAAACGGACCCAGGAGGCTGCATGTTACTGCATGCTGAGACATGTCCATGAGTGCATAGTAGCCGCCAGCAGCACGTCTGTTGATGCAGTTGTTCATTCGTATTGACAGTGTAAAGTGCGGTCTATGGCATCGTGGTCACGTAGTGAGATAGGGGCAGTTTTACGGTATTACTTTACGCGTGGTTTAAGCATAGACCAGTGTTTAGAAGAAATGAGCTTGCATTAAAGAATGATTGTCCTCATCGTTCGACTATATTCAGGTGGTAAAGAGGATTCCAAAGCGGCAATTTTATTCTGGAGGTCGTTGAGAGGGAAGGAAGGCCGCGAACGTCAGAAACAGAGGAAAACATTACTGCTGCGAAGAAAATGCTTGACGAAGACCGGAGAGTGACATACCAACAGCTAGAGGAGAACTTGCTTCATGCTTCAGCAATTGATTCAGTTCTCTATGACCATGTCCACGTAAGGAAAATTTGCTCTCTCTGGGTACCGCATAGTCTGACGGAAGAGCAGAAGACTCGTCGTACGACTCCATGCTGAAAGGTGCTGAAGGGGCAATCTCGGTATGTGAACAGCATCCTGAGAGACGACGAGACTTGGCTCTATTATTACGATGTGCCGACCAAATCTCAAAACAAAGTTTGGGTTTTTGATGATGAGGACTCACCAGTAGCTGTCAGAAAATCTCAATCTGTTAAGAAAAAAATGATAACTTTATGTTTCAAATCGAGCGGGATTGTGGGGCATGTCGTTTTGGGCAGTCTCAGCTAAGTGATACACGGAACGTGCCTGCCTAAAGTCATAGAGCCTGGGAAGGAAATGCGGACAAAGTCAAGAATGGAGACTTGGTGGTACCTTCACCATGACAATATTCCAGTACACCGCGTCAAAGCCTGCACCGAGTATTTGACCACTACTGGACTGAAGCTTATTAAGCACCCTCCTTACAGTGCATATCTTGCTTCCTGCGACTTTGCACTGTTTCCGCATGTGAAAATGAATCTAAACGGAAAACGGTTTTCTAGCTATGAGGACCTTCTGAGGGCTTGGGACAACGAGTGTACCGCACTTCCGGGTGAAACTTGGCAGAGCTGGTTTAAGGACTGGTTTTGCCGGATGGAGAAGTGTATTGAATGCGGTGGAAATTACTTTGAACGAAGTCAATGGATAAAGCTGTATTGCAAAACTTTTATAGTACCGTTTGTATTGGATAATATTCATAAACCAAGAAGTAATAAGCCTACAAAGCATGGCGAAACTTTAGTGAAATACACATAAGGATTGCGGCAGCTTATGTTGCAATTTTTCTACGCCCACTAGATTTACGAAAGTCACATCATCCTTGGCGATAGGATTGGCTGCATACTAATACATTTATCCGCTATGGAATTTAGCGTCCTATCTCTAGTCTTCGTGCCTCTTCGTCTAGCCAGCCCTGTTTTTGTTAGCAGGGTGATGTCGCGCAGTCTACTGGACGGTAGGACAACTACACGACCACGCCATGTCACGGTGACAGTGGCAAGTCATCCCATTGCCCAGTAGAGAGCGCGAGAGCTCCCTCTCAGCTTAAGGAACATGTTTTTTCGCAAGGTAGTCAAGTAGATTGAATATTGTTGAAGAATCAGCATCTGTAATTTTATTTTTATTCTCAAATAATTTATAAAGCAAAATTTTGTACAGCAACAGTGGACACTAATATTTTCAATAAAATGCTCATGTAATTGCTGTCATATCAACCTAGATGTTGTATCATGTGTGTGTCCATGCTTCGAGTATGACGCAAATAGATATTTTCCGTTGGTTCATTTTACTACAATGGCCGCTAATTTAATGTCCGGAAGCGAATGAAAAAAATAGGTTTTTGTGGTCTAACAAACTGATTTTTGACGTATTTCTTGAATTGATATGGGAATTAGGGGCCAAACTTGTGCATCCCAAAAGCTTCACACTGCGTTTGCTGTGATAAAAATTCGTCACTATTTATAGACCCTTTTCCTTTATGTAGCCGGGCTGGTGGTCTCATGTGACTTCTTTTTGTACATAATATTTGTTCCATTTCTCTACTGACTGGCATAACTATATCGTTAACCACTGATAATAGGTGCAGTCATGCATGAAAACGGAAATGAAACTTTCAAGGATCTTGTTTCAAGAATCATATATATTCATAACCCTTGCTTGAAAGATGAGCAAAGTAAGTTTTTACAAGGTAGTTGAAACTATCGGATTATAGCAAAATATACACAATGCCCACCACCCGTTAACTGTCCATGATACCATATTCACCAGGCTATAACACTCCCTCATTGGCATGAGGGGTTTCCAAGGCAAAAAAACTAATTATGTTCCGAAGGAGTATTATGTAACAGTTGTCTTAGACGCAGAGCACACGTGCACCCTGAACCCTGATTAATGTCGATGATGAGTGAGGGTGCGACTGTAGAAAGTTATCCGGAAATACTCGATTTTTAATAGACTGGGTGGCGGATGGTTTGGAATTATCATGCCATAAATTCTACAACAGTTTTAGCGTATTTTGATTTTATGCTTTATGATGGTGCGTAATTCGATCGAGTTTATCATTAGTCCTGAGCTTCTGAGACGGAAAAAGTATCATCAGCATCAGATAGATTGACTTAGTACTTAATGCATGCCCAAACATACTTTTACAAACTAACGCATGTAATATCTAAACCTCTTAAAACATGCGTTAACATTCTTGATACACAAATAAATACAATCTTTAAATGTGGCTTTTTGTAGACTCAGTGACATTTGAAGTGTTACACCCAGAAAAAAATATTTCTACAACTTGTTTTGTTGGCAACATAAATACTATATTTAAAGCATGCTGTGCCAACAATGACAACGTTTTATCTTTGTTTTTGTTTAACTTTATTAAAATGTTATTTCTTAGTTTTTGTGTAGAACGCACTTTCTGAGAGCTGAGTAGTACCAATATTTTTAGTTATTGCCCATTCATTAATTTACTAGTGTTAAGCATAACAAAAGCCTCGAGTTGGAAGAGGTTCAAATTATCACCATGTTAGCGACTTTGACAGGGGTAGAATTATTGCCTATCGATATTTTGGTTTGTCCTATCGCGAAATTGGTCGCCTTGTTAACTGTACTGCAATGATGGTAATACGTGTGTATCGTGTATGGATAGAAGATAGTAGAACACGAAGAAGGCCAACTGGTTCACTGAAGCGTACCACATAGCATCAAGTTAGGCGCTTCAGACAACTAGCCCTACGAGACCGTTTTGCTACTACGCGTGAGATCGCTGACCAACGGTTTGGAGAAGAAGGTGGACCTGTTACTATCTGTACTCTCTATCACCGCATTCGAGCCTTTTGACTTTTTTCATAACGTCCACGGTTAGTACTTCCTCTGATTGTAGACCACTGTCGTCAACGTTTCAACTGGAGCAGAGAACGGCAACATTGGGAGGCAGAATGGCATAATGTCATCTTCAGCGACGAATCGCGATTCTGTCTAGGTACGCACGATGTATGTAGAAGGGTAAGACGCCACCGTGGAGAACGGCGTGATATTGGATTTGCTGTTGAGAGGCATGTACACAGGACTGTTCGTGGGGTATTGCCTATGGTAGCCGATCACCCTTGCTCTTTGGTATGTGACTGCTACGCGTTATGTTGATGATGTCCTGCAATCCACTTCACTGCCGTATCTAGAGGGCCGTCCACACGTCCTGTTTCTGCTAGACAGCGCACGTCCCCATATTGCTTGTCATACCGGCTTCTTTCAAGAAGCAGACGTTAATGTTTTGCCGTGGCAAAATCCCATCGAACATGTGACGGGGAGGAGACTATCTACTTTGCACCATCGGCCACAGACTCTGCCACAGCTAATCCACGAAGTTCGAGTTGCTTGGAATGAGGTGCCACAACCAGACATCGATCATCTCATTTTGTCGATGCCTATACGTATACATGAGTGTATTCAGCTGCGAGTGTATGTTATCGTTTCATCCCTTATTGCCAAAAAATCAAATTGAAGAAATATTTTTTCTCGGTGCAACACTTCTAATGCCACTGAGTATAATAATATACATAGTTCAGGGCTATATCCGAACTTGTACAGAATAACTGTATATCTCCAGAAGGAGACCTATAACAACAAATAGAAATTGTAACTACATGAAGTTTATGTTGTATCTCACCGAGTTCAATATGTTTAACTAAAAAACATTCTGATAGCTCAATACCCCTAACTGATATATCATTTCTACAAAATATTGCAGCGCCACCACCATTCCAATGCCTTCAACAGTAAGCACTTGCCATCTGAAAATCTTCCAAAATAAAATGGTTTAGGTAGTTAGCTGAGGCTCATGTCACAATTGAGAAGATAAATTTCAAACATCTAAATTCCGATATGGTAATATTTAGCTCATCAATTTTATCAAAATGTACGAGTATACACTCAGTATTTGTAGTAGCAGTAGTGTTGGAATGAAATTTAAGTTTGAGGTTTCACACCCCTTCGTCTTTGTAAAGAATGGCGTATACCCTTACAGGGTATGGTGGCCATATACAATTAATTACCTTAAATGATGTTTGAAATTGAGATTCTCCACCTTGGCCTCAGGAAAATTAGGCTTGAGGTACTGGTTCATCTTCTCTACACTATCTACACTATAATTTAGGTCAATCATCTATCATCTCATTTTGTCGATGACTAGACGTATACAGGAGTGTATTCGGCTGCGGGGTCGTTCAAAACATAATTTGCTTTGCCAAATACCGAATATTTTGTGCCACCTTTTTTTAATATGCCTTGGATTAACCACAAACATGAAAAGCTGTCAAATAAAATAAATAGCTAAAAAAAGATGGAAAACATACAAATACGGAATGTGAAACTATCTGAAACTGTTCATAAATTTGTTGAAAATAGACCAGCATTACGTAAAAAATATGAGGTATATGAAATTAGACAATTGTGGACTATACATATATGTAGACACTAAAATAATGCATGCTGCAAAACCGAAACAAAAGGAGTGAAATTCCTGCATATACCTCATGAATTTGGTTAACTGCACAGGGAAGTATTAATAAAGTTATTTCAGAATGACCATCTAGACTATCTGTACATGGATAGAAGCAAACAGAAACCATAGCTGTCAATCAGCAACAAGGGATGATGATAAAAGCCTTTAAGATATACTCCTGCCTGTCTAGTTCATGAACAATCAACACGACACCTACTTAGGTGCCTTGACTAAAACCTGATGCTATTGTATTAATTGGAGGTATATGTGAAGCCATTGGTCCCAATAATTTACGAGAGCTTATGATGTAACACGTAGTCGATTTATTTCAGAAGCAAGTATTATAAAGAAATATTCTTTTTGTGGTGCCGTCTTCTTAACTTAATTTCGTCAAATCACTTAGGCAGGGTTATTACGTAAAAAACCTAAATAATCTCAAAAAACTGGCAGAATGTCAACTTGTAACTAGATAGTTCCAAGTGTAAAAATGGTTCATTCCGCTATTCCTTGCAAGTCAGCGAGCTTTGTTGATTGCAGAATGCCGAGATGGTCTGTGGAGTTCGAGAAGATGTGACAGAAAGAAAATTGGTTGATTAGCAAGATCGCATCTGGATGACTCTGAAATGATTTGTTGTTGTTGTGAATGGGTCTGCATGTGTCTTAAATCAGTAATATTTGCTAAGAGAGAAAATTATTACTGAATATGCGCACATGAAGTACATATATCTATTAGCTGTACCAGACAAGTTATTTGTGTTGTCCTTTCTGAAAAAGGTTATGTTCAAAGTTATAAATTACGATTTTCCTCGGTTTTTCTTTCAGAAAGTTTAAGAAGCATTGCGAGAAATCACTACCATGGTCGCGTTGTGTCAATCAAGCCACATCCCAGAAAAATTAGGGATCACACAGAACATTTTCGCAATGCTACACATCTAGGCGCTAATTTCTATTTTGTACTTAACATCGCAAAATAAATATCTATAAAATTTAAATGATAATGTAAAATAGAATAACTTTTTCACGTTTCATAGATATTCCTGTTTGTGGCATATTTTCTCACCTGTTGGTCGTAATATACTTCACCAACCAGGGATTTCTGTGCCGTCTCCTTTCAGCTATTGTAATTAACTTGCAGCTTAGACCTCTAATGGAGCAATTTCTGAAGCCGATGTTACATCACAATATTGATAGCTGGAGCATCATGACGTTTAGGCACGTACAGCTGAAGGACAGGTGCACATCAAGAGAACAACAGCTAGGTCTTCTCATGCAAAAACCTACATAATGCCAGAAAAAACTAAATTATGCGACTTGACTGATTCCTAAAGGTGACTGTGAATTTAAGTCGGTATAAAATCTTATATTCTTAATTCACGACCCCTTCTCACGTCAATCTTACCTTTAATTCTTAGTCCCAAAGATGCGCATCTCGTGCGTGCTTATTATACAGGTTTAACTCCAAATAACTAATCTTTCGTATTTTACAGGGTGTCCCAACTATGCGAGGATGGAGTATTGTTCCTAAACAAAAACCTTTTAAAGAACACTATTTGAATTAATATATTTCGTATCTGATGGCATATATCTAAAACACTCAATTGCACAAGGTGTCCCAGTTTTCACCCATACCAGAGTGAATTTGTTTTAAATCAAAGGCCCTACATTTTATCACATATTCGGACAGGTACCTACAGTATCAACATTTTTGTATTATACCCAATTTAAACTTAATTCAAAAATAATTGGTATATTGTATATTCAACATTTTGGATTCCAACCATACAAAATGTAGGAATTCGAACGTATGTAATATTTTTGCATATAGAAAAGAAAGCGCATACTAGAAAATATTAAATCATCATTCATTCAAATATAGTTTTAGATTGGCGATACCTTAAACCCTTAGAAAGTATTCATTATTGTAAATACTATTGAGTATGTGATATTACGCTTGATTTGGACCGTTGGCATCATTCTTATTGTAATTGTTTGAAAAGTTGTGTCTATTTTACTGCTGTCAGCTGCTCCATGTGACAATTATTGCTTGCTCATCTGCCAAATCGACACGAAGTGTCCCTTTTATGATTCACAATTCAAACTATTTCTACTGTCATACTATAACGTACAAAATATAATACATATCATTTTTATTTTCCATGGAAGGGGCTTAGTTTTAAAGAATCAAAAATGTTGTTCTAATTATAATTCTTTCATTCATCTTTTTTTTCATGGATATTTGCTAGTAATAGTGTAGCATTTACAGACAATTTTGAATATCTCGAAAACTTCAACATGAGCACCGTTGACTTTTATCAGTGGAAAGATTGAGAAAAGTAGAATCCGAAGAGGTTAAAATATACACGTTAACCCATTTAAGTTGCTTATCTTGGAATTTTTGGAACAGCCGATAGTTGATAGTCATTGATTCACATAGGCTTTAAAATCTGATTATAGGAAATATCTTGTTATGGAGCGAAAGCTTCAAGGTCCTTCCCAGTGATATAAGGTTAGAAATGAGTTTTTTGTTACAGGCCTCACTATCATTTGACCCATCGAGTGATCTACGCGGTCGGTAGCAGCAGGTGTCCCTGCGGCGCGGCCAAAAGAATCCACCCATCCGCGGGCGGCCATCCGCGCAGTTCTGAGGCCTACCGCCTCTACCCCTTCTCTCCCTTCCCTACCTCCTGACACCGCCAAAGCTCACCGCCACCGCGGCCCACTGCGATTTTTCATCATATTTTGCAGCCGCTGCCGCGCCATACACGTAACTTTGAAAAACTCCATCCACAACTTCAACGGCCGGTGACTTCGCCGCGATCGCGATTCACGCAACCCTCAGTCGGTTTGGTACGCGTGAACACGTGGCTTACAAGAGGACTGTTGGATTCTGTGGGAGTGAGTGAGAGAAGACGAAAGTGAAACGGGGAAGAGACAAGGAAATGCAACGAGAATGGGAATTGCGTTCTTGATCTGACAGGTTTGTATTAAATATGTGATCAGTGCAACTGATTTAGTGCCGTATCGCCAGTTGTTCCTACAATTGTAGGGCACCTTTATGGCCTCCTTGATTTTCATAGCCGTTTCTCTCCTCCAGAAAGGCTGGGGTACATCTAGATTTCTACTATTCCGTGTCAGCGTCAGCGCTCTCCAAGTTATGTTTTCTTTTTAATAAATTGTAGGAAATTTCTGGGTGATGAAACAGATGATGAGACCGAAAGCATGAACAATTTGATGCAAATAGAAATTTGTAACATAACCCCATAACATCAAGATAAACCGCCTTTCTGAAGGACAGGAAAAGCCATGAAAATCAAGACGGCCATAAAGGTGCCCTACAATTGTAGGAACTACTGGCGATACGGCCCTAAGACATATCTAGAAGATAATTCTTCATGCAATTCAACTATGTCAAACATTTTTCTGGCGATCGTCTGATTATTTGAAATAGGTTTCACTATTCTAGAGAGATCATATAATTGATGAATATGTATCTTATGCCTTTTTGCACAATCCCAGGCATCAGGAAACACACACATGTGTGGCGAATATAACGACACATACATCTAGACATTGATCCATAATTGTTTTATTGGTCATCGTTATTAACAATTTCACGCATACAACAATATCATGATTAAAACAAAACATAAAATTAGCAATTTGCATCTATACAGAGTAAGCCCAGATATCCGCAGATTAACGGCTTCTAGTAGCAGTTTCTTATGGACTTTGAAGATGTATTACAAAATAATGGTGGACCAATGCCTAGTCATACCTATCAACCTACTCGGATTTCAAGAGCTACTTAATTTGCACTCATTATACAGGGTGTTCCATAATTATTGCGACAAAATGATAGGGCTTGTAGAGGGCATAAAAATATGCAATTTTGCCTTATAAACCCCTGTTCGTAAATATGCCGTTTGAGCACTACCGCTAATTTTACCTTAAGAGCTCATAGGAGAAACAAAAAATTCACCAGCTGCAAAATGTTCGTCTAGCACATTTCATGGTCTCGCCAGTTTGTAAAAAAAAGCCTGCTGTGTTTACATTTTTGTTATCGTAAATTCTCCACACCGATTCATTTAATTTATCCGAGTGGTGCGTCAAACTAGATAGTAAATAACAGTACCTTAGTGTTAAAATGCAGCGTTATTCGTATGCGGAACTTGAGGATATGCATTTAATTTACGGAGAAGTTGGTGGTTACAGAAGACGAGCCTCGCGAATCTAGGCCCAACGGTTTCCAGAACGTCCTCATCCGCATCACGCCATTTTTGCAAGGATTCATGGACGTCTTCGTGTCCGTGGTAGCATCAGACACCTCGCGGGAGCATGGCGGCCCTTCACGAGGCGCACAGTAGAATTTGAGGAAGCGATTCTGCATCATGTAGAGGCCAATCCGCGTACAAGCGTGCGTGCTATTGCACATGACATGGGAGCGTCTCAAACTACTGTTTGGCGGGTTCTCCATGACCAGCAACTACACCCATACCACCTTTTAAAAGTCCAAGCCATGGGTCCAGAAGACTATCTGCCGCGTCGACGTTTTTGTCGTTGGTGGCTGCAGCAGGAGTTGAGGCAACCAAACTTTGGTCGCTACGTTTTGTTCACTGACGAGTCCTGTTTTACAAAGGACGGTTATTTTAATAGCCGTAATAGTCACATTTGGGATGAAGAAGACCCTCATGCCATGGCTGCCATGCCATAGAGACCAACATCAGTTTTCAATTAACATCTGGTGCGGCATTGTGGACGAGCATATCATCGGGCCATATTTGCTTCCGCCACGTTTGGATGGGCATGCTTATGGTCGATTCTTACAGCATGTGCTACCGGAACTATTAGAAAATGTGCCACTGAATATAAGAGCCAACATGTGGTTTCAACACGATGGCGCTCCAGCCCACTTTTCTTTACAAGTGCGGCAGTATTTGGACGACAAATTTCCAAACAGGTGGATAGGCCGAGGTGGCCCTATGCCTTGGCCTGCGCGGCCACCCGACCTGACCCTACTGGATTATTTTCTCTGGGGCCATCTGAAAGCTTTAGTGTACGAAACTCCTGTTCCCAACCAACAAGAGCTACTGGGAAGAGTGATGGCCGCGTCCGCACATGTTCAGGACATACCGGGGGTATGCCACAGAGTTCGCCGATCATTGAACAATCGTGCACAGCTGTGTATTGAGCAAGGTGGAGGACACTTTGAGCAATTACTGTAGGTAAGCTGTTTCAAGAAACTGATCTTTTTTTTTTTGCTGTAGCCCAAACGGCATATTTCCGAACAGGGGTTTATAAGGCAAAATTGTTCATTTTGATGCCCTCTACAACCCCTATCATTTTGTCGCAATAATTATGGAACACCCTGTATATGCTGGACATATACTAATTGACATATAAATCCGAACACCCAGTTTAAATGGTTTTATTTTAATAAAATTTTGTATAAGTACTTAATGAAGCATAATAAGTAAATGATAAAAATTTCAAAATGATTGCACTGCTTTAAAGCCCTTTGACCTTTAATAATGTATGGATGCACCCTGATGTGCTACGCATTCTCCAACGCGCCTAGGCATGCTTCTGATCAGGTGGTCAATGTCCTCCTGTGGTATCTCATTCCAGGCAACCACCAACTCCTCTCGAAGTGCTTCTAGAGTCTAAATTGAGCAATCTCCTACCCATCATATCTCACACGTGCTCAATTGGGGATAAGTCGGGAGATCTTGGTGGCCATGGTAACAATATGACATCATTATGTTGAAAGAAGTCTATTGTGACTCTTGCAACATGTAGTCGGGCATTATCTTGTTGGAAAGTTGGATCTGCCAGGGTGTCAAGGTAGGGTAAAAGATGGGGTTCTAGAACTTCGTGGATATAACGCTGCGCGTTCATGTTACCTCTGATGAAGATTAAAGGTGACCTGGAACCATAAGCTATAGCATCCCAAACCATAACTCCAACAGTGTGAACATGTCTTTCAACAAAAAACTGTGGATTCCTCCTTTCACCACGTCGCCTTCTAACCCTGGCACGACCATCGTGCATGCCTAAACAAAATCGAGACTCGTCACTAAAGGCAATACTGTTCCATTCCTGATCCCAGAGTGACCGTTGTCTGCACCGCACAAGGCGATTACGTCGGTGTTCTCGAGTTAAAGGGAGGACCCAGTGTGGCCGGTATGAAAACAAGCCAAAACTTCTCATTCGTCGGTAAACACTTCGCATGCCAATAGGTCTTCCGTGTCCTGCAAACCATTCATTTGCAATGGACCTGGTAGTGGAGAAACGGTCCCTTACGGCCAATAATCTTAGGCGGCGATCTTCACGGTCTGTTGTTCTACGGCGGCGTCCAGTGCCCCTTGCTCCTTGCGTACGGCCTTCTCGCAGCCATGATAACAACCTAACCACAGTGTCTACACTTCCTTGCACTCTAACTGCAATTGCCCGAAAAGAAAGTCCAGCTTCCCGAAGTCCCACTATACGGCCCCTATCAAACTCACTAAGTTGACGAAATCGTATAGGTCTCCGTACTCTAGGCATCGTAACCGATCGTAAAGGATGTCAAGAACCAAAATCCGCCAACGTTGATTCTTTACTGCAGCTGAAATATTCATTTTTAGAGCGTTAGTGAATTAAAAAAAAAGCAGTATGAAAACCGGAATGTCCAACTGAAAAGGCTGAAAATTTTTTCACTTGTTATTTACAGTAAGATAAATACATTCACCAACTTTTATTAAAATAAAACCATTTAAACTGGGTGTTCGGATTTATATGTCACTTAGTATATTTCAGTTCTAAACACTGGATGACAAATCTTACTACATATGTGTGGAAGCGCGTGTTTAAGGAACTGTCAGATTAAGAAATCCACATTTGATCCATGAACCACCTCAACTCTTGCTAAAAATCACAATCTTCAGTCCTTACATTTCAGATTTCACACTTGGTTGCACACATGTTTTCCCTGTGGGAGAATTATAGAGGATCAACGCATTAATACAGCTTCACAAGTTTGTAATGAAAATATTTACAAGAAACAACTAACACGATTTATTACGATGTCACAAGACATAAGTATATTCAGTTTTTGAGCTGGTACTGCATAAATACTTTCAATGTTGACACATGACACTCCTGGTTTGCCATCCTGGTGCCTTTTTAGTGTATTTCTATGAGATGTAATAATTTTTCCGCAATTCCTCATCATTTTTACTGCCTAAGCCGATAAGGCGAGAAAGTATTGTAGTTGCAAAATATTTCGCAAATGAGAAACTGTGTTACTCACTTCCGTAAGTCTGTCGGTCTGTCTGTCTGTCTGGTAATCATTGGCCCGTCTATAACTACAAAATAATCAATTTCAACAAAATACAGATCTGATTTTGATGAAATTTTCCTACAACTACTATGCCAAAGATAGAGAAGCTTTGCAGTTTTTCCAAAAAATAAAAAATATAAGTATTGCAAGGTTGATTTATTAAACTCAACTTGATTCTATTTTTTCTTGCAGCAGATTATGTCCTGAATGTCACCGCCGCCACCACAAAAATGCACCTGTCGAGCGAAGTGACGTCAACGACAGGCTTCGACAGCAGAGCGTACAGCAACCTGACGGCCGAAATGCTCGCTGAACGAACGGTCGATGGCCTTCTGGCCGAACATCCCGGTGAACTGGTTCGAACCGGTTCACCGCATGTGGTGTGCACAGTACTGCCGCCTCATTGGAGGTCTAACAAGACGCTGCCAGTGGCGTTCAAAGTGGTGGCACTGGGTGATGTTGGAGATGGTACTGTGGTGACGGTACGAGCGGGAAATGACGAGAACTATTGTGCCGAGCTCAGGAACTGTACGGCGGTGATGAAAAACCAGGTGGCCAAGTTCAACGATCTCAGATTCGTCGGAAGAAGTGGAAGAGGTAAGAGTAAGTACTAATATTTAGGCATGTTATTGAAAAATTAACTTCAAATAAACATAAGATCTATCTTCAGCGACCCAAAGGCACGCTGCAATATTTTTGCTTGAACTGCATTCAAAATATCTTTATTTTTACTGAAATGAAAAAATGCTGACAGAGATCTGACCATGTGTTTTTGGAGACGTTGAAATTGGATCCGAAGCATATTTGTCCCAGTAACGATACAAGATCTTAGAGTTATCGGAAAACATTGAAACAAAATCATAACCTTTCACTTGATAGTATAGGGGAACAGATAACTTCAAAATTACTTCCCAAATGTTTCCATCCTCCAGAAAAATGAACCATCATGGTTATTTGTCCAAAAAATTACTTATTATATGCCTATCCATTTTAAAATTTTTCTACCTCAATGTGTATGTACCCTTTTCCTATGGCGTACCCTCAAATCGATAGAAGTGATTTTAGTTCCTCGTTTTGGTTTATACGTATATAGATACTCAATGGAAGGTGATTTTATCTATGCCAAGAAATAACAGTATTGCAGTAAGCAGGCCAGGGATGTCCCGCAACCCAAAGCTGAGCTTTTTTGATGGTTTCAGATATAATTTCAATTAAAGAAGAACCTGTTGATGCCAATACACCACGCAATTTCACCACAACCCGACAATTGATAATGCATAAAAACGGCCGTCAAACTCTATCGCGGTGAACTTATTATATGATTATCAGACTGCACAGATCTGTATGAGATGCGAAGTCGCTTAAATAGGAGTAACCATGCGTATTTAGGTAGTCAACCAAACGCCGCTTAGGAAGTTTCAAAATTCAAAGTACTTTCGAAGAGAGTCGCATAATTAACGAATTTTTTCAAGATCGTTTTAATTTTTTCCCGACTTTAAAATAAATTGCTAACTAACATAGCCGTTTTTATTCTCTACGCTACAGGATGTTTTGTTTTTGGTACTGCAGCATTAACTTAATTTTTTCTCAGGGACACCACATTGGATTTTTACACATATAAATGAAGTTTTAAATTCTGATTCCAAAAATGTATAATACGCATACACTGACATTGCCAAACCGAAGTTATTTCAAAAAAGCAAAATTTCTTAGGTAGGTCTTGAAATTGTCAGATAGTCTCTGTTTGGCATACCAGATTCATTTATTCCTGGCTTTGTTTGAGATGGGATTTCAATATGAATTGCATATAGTCATTTTTACACTGGTATATGGAGTTTTAAATTCTGATTCGAAAAATGTATATTACGCATACTTGACATTGCCAAACCGATGTTATTTCAAAAAAGCAGAATTTCCTAGGTAGGCCTTGAAATTATCAGATAGTCTAAATTGCAATTTGTCATTCTTACCTATTCTCCTCTAAAAGATGGCATAGTCAAATTGTCAATTCGATATTTTCACTTTCGTCTTCCATCCTCAAATAATAGCAAATGTTCAAAATGTTGTACGTTTCGTAGGCAAAGCCAGACTATTCTCTGTGCATTGTTAACTGCTCGATTCATTTCTCTTTGTCTCAGTCTTCCAAACACTGTTGCTATGTTCAGTCTGAAGTCTGGTCTGATTTACGAAACAAATCAAACCTGATAATTTCAAGGCATATTTAGAAACTCCTGCTTTTATGGAAGGTTTGGCAATGTAAATGTATGGCATCCACCAAGCTGATGCTGGAGGATAAGAGACGAAACGTCATATTAAAATTCCAGTTACGCTATCTTGAAGAGGAGAAAAAGTGGCGTTGTTACGGTGTAATTTATTTTGAAATCCCACTACAAGTAAATCCAGGAAAAAATTAAAACGAATTTTGGGAAGATTCATTTTATTTCGTCTCTCTCCGGAAGTACTTTGAAGCACGAAACTTTGTAAGCGGCATTCTGTTGACCATCTAAATACGCAACTTTGCTCCCATTTAAGCGACTTCGTGTCTCTTTCAGTATCGGAGGTCCCGAAGGTGATGATCAAATTTGAAACACCCTGTATACAAAAAAGTATTGTATTTCGATTTGTTGGTTAAATCATGTTTATATTGAGATACAATTTCGAAAAGCACTTTGATAAAGTTCAAAAATTGGATATAAGCGCGCCAGTGTCATTCGAGCATCTGGCTGTGAAAAAAGAGGGCGAAGATCGATTCATTTTAGAAACAGACGTGCGACATCCCAAAAGCTGTTCATTGTGCAGTATTGCCTTATTCATCATACTATAAAGTATCCACAGTGTGCAGGATCTTCAAATTTAAGCAAAGGCTATGTTGATGTTAAAACCACAATGAGAAATAAAAGAGAAAATTAATTTTGAAGAGATTGTAAATTTTTTATTACAACGGTATTTTCGAAAATACTTGTATGATGGAAAACATTGACGATAGAGGAGACATAAAGTTCGTTACACTTTAAGAAAATATTTACATAGCAATAAGCAGGGGTCAAAGGTTTTTCGAAGCGGAACGTAATCCAAAGCGCCAGTCAGTCAGTGACATCACTTTCTGATGATAAAATATTAGAGGATATGGCCAAGTATCAAACGAGGCACACACACTAAATGCTTGTCATGTCATTATCAGGGCTGGACATGGATGGAATGTTTAAAACAGCAGGAGCGAAAACATCGTAACTGTATGTTTTATTTTTTCATCTACTATCCTACATGAGATCCTACAAAACGTGACCAATCACAAAAATGCCTTCCCTATTATTTGTGCAATTCTAGCCTAACTATACAGCATCAAACCACGAGAACACCTTCAGGATACAAGGATTGTAACAACGAGGGCACCTCATTAATTTTTCTCGAATCTAGAGCTGTTATGTAGCCATTTCGGTATGATTCTCGCATTTCGGTTTGAAATAACGTTGTGGCTCGCCGAAGCTGTACGTCTCCCCAGTGCTTTCAAAATTCCAAATGGAAATATTCATGGCTCGGTTCTTCTTACTTTCTCATATTTGCCTTTAAAAATATATACTCTGCTGGGTTCTATTTCGTCTTTTTTATTTCACCGTTTCATAAAATATTTATGGCGCCGCATGGAGCTGGAATATTGGAACGCATGAAAGGCGGCTAGATCCTTTCTGAATTTTAGAAAACGTCGACACGTGAGCTGAAAGTCGTCGTGTGATATTTTTGGGAGGGACATGGAAAGAATGTAGAGTGTGGATACTTTTATCAATATAATAGAAACAAGTTGAAAATAGCGGTATTGTTGGACGATATACTCTAATCGAACTTTTTTCAGGTTCACCTTCATTAGAGGACCCAAAATAATTCCTAGTATGTCGCCTACAAAGAAAACGATCAGATTTGGATTGATATTAACCAATTACTGTCGCTCGAGTAATTTTTAATTCTTTTCTTCATTCTGAACGAGTCCTCTGTAGGTTTTCTCTAGGTCATAAGCAGATATTATTATTAGTACTATAATATACCCTCACCAGACTAATCCCGTTTAGCATTAGTGTGAAGGAGATTAAGTTTTGAAAAAAGATGCAATATTCAAAGCAAGGCAATAGTTACTTGAGCAGTGGACATCTTTTATAAAACATTTCATTGCAACAATAAATTAATTTCAATCTCTTGCTTTTTCATATCTCCGGCAAAAGGTAAAGAGTTTACTGATTTTAAAATGACCTTGAACGTCTTGGTCAGAATAATTGGCAAGAATACATTCGAACTCAAAATTGTTTGCAATTTGCATTTTAGAAATTAATAATAGATTTTTCTCGTTAACAAAATAGGGGATTCTGTTTAAGAAAACTATCTTGATTTTCAAACGAGTTTAAAGGTCGTTGTGAAGGCCACGTTCAAGGTCATTCTTTTTTCCCATTTCTTTTTATAAAAGGTAATTTTCAGGATATTTGGTCTTTTCCCTACTTTCTGGACTGACTTAAATACCCATGAAGGTTATGGTCAACGTAATTGGCAGATACCCTTCCAGAATATCGACATGAATGCACAATGCGTCTTAAAAGGAATACAATTTATTAGGCGTTTCCTATCACTGAGTATATTTGTGGTCGCGTGGTGTCCAAATGAAACCTTAAGCATTCTACAAACTTCTGTGCGACTATTTTGGGCTTATTTCAATACAGTTTTTCCCAGTTGTTGATATTCCAGCCTGATTAAGTAAGACGAAAGTGCTGGTTCCATTGATGATATATCAAATCACATTTTTCCAGAAACTATCGGTTAGCTTTTTGTAGATCTTCTTATTCTAAAAAACAAGCACCGTCATAAGTTGGTCGTTCCAAGTTTTAAAGTAATATACTTAGTGTCCTAAGAAATGAACATAGTTGGATTCTCAGAGGCGCATTTAAGTTGAGATGGACCAACTAATAAAGAATATATTTACCATAAGGAATTGGCAATCAATTATGTAAATAATGCCTTACCATTTGGCTGGTTGTTCACGTCAAATCTGTCTTTTTTCAAATCACTCCTCTCAGTTTGACCGTAACCACGCAAACGCCTCCTAGCGGTAAAAAATTGGACATCGCTACCATTACTTGAATATTGTTAGTATCACTGACATACTGCACCGCTATTATACAGTCAGATGTAGTCTTTACAGTTTCTATTGTGTACGTATCTTCATCTTGCTGCTTCAGGACTATGTTCCAATCCATCTCCTGCTATCTGTATGCCCATCTAATTGATTCTATAACTGCTATGCCATCCGCATATCATATCCTATATATTCTTTGAAGCAATTTCAGCCTGAGATCTTGAGAAGAATTTCGCGGAAGCCCTGTAGTAACCTTCATAATCTCTTGGCTCTCCCACCATATGTGTTTTTCTATTAAAGGAGTTATTTTCAATTTCCAATTGAGCATTCTATTGCCTGTCATTGCCTAGTAGCGGCAGTGTTTTTGACAAGGAGATCATTACACATGTATTCTAACATACTACGTACTAAGTGCATCGTCGCTTCGAGTGCGTCTATGGCATTTTCTCGTTTTGAATCTAAACTAAGTAGGCCGTTTTTA